AAAAAATGTCTGTGGCTCGCATTCCTATCTATAAAATGAATGTACTATATTTTTCCTCATATGGATGTAGAGAGTTGAGATGCTTCTGTTCAGAGAAGCCTAGGATCTATAGGGCTGTGTCCATTTGAGTCAAGATGGGTGTTTGCAAGTAGGATTCAGGGACACTCATCTCTGGTGTTGAATAGTAACAGATTATCTGCCAGAAAGTGGCAGGGCAGAGGTAGATTGGATCACAGCATCTCTTGCTTACATACCTGGCATGTGTATGTGGTGCCAAGTGAGAGGATGACTGGCTGACACAACTGCTTTTTGATGCTTACTTTGCCTGGGAAGGCCTGTGTTCAGCAATGCCAGGCTGACTGCAAACAGAAATGCGTATGTGGGGAAATCCCTCTGTTTCTGGATGTATTTTTCTAGATGATTCAAGCTCCTTAATTGCCAGTTCTGTGTTGTATCTGGGGCTATAATGGAAGCTGGGGATTGAAGTGGGTGGGAATGCTGGAAGTGGTAGGTGATAAATGGGCTGAAAGCTACTGATAATTTTTCTAACCAGTGTTACAGATCTTCACTCCTGTCCTCTCTGTGGAAGGATGGTATAGACACAAAAAGTCACCATGACCCCTTAAGAATGTGCACATAGAATTCACAATCACCGACTCCCATGGTGTGGGCAGTGAAAAGCTTCTGCCAGAACATTGTTGGTCACGGCTAATTTACACTTCTGCCACCTCACTGCTGTGCAGTTCCCACCTGCTGCAAGTGTAAGGGAAGTTCTTGGTCCCTTTTGGCCCTGGGGTTGCCCTTCCCAGCTGCATACTGCACAGCACCCTCAGCCTGCCACCGTGCACCGTCAGTTTTTCAGGAGCTAACTGGATAAACTGTACTCTAGAGCCCATTGAACTTGCCTGTAACAGTGCTTAATTAAAGTGCAGAAAGTTTGAAGAGATAGGAAGTTAAGGCTTAATGCAATAACGAAATGGCACTATTCCACCATCTGCTTCTTTCAAGATGCTAATTGCTTCCTCATATTTGTTTGTTTTAATTAGGAAAGAACCTTGATTAAAATGGAATGAGGAGGGATAAGGGTAGAGGAATGGAAGGCAGGGAGGAGAGGAAAAGGAGAGTACAGGAGAGGGAGAAACGAATGGAAGATGAAGGTTTGACCATGCTGCTGAGCACTGGTCAGCAGCTCTAGACCAACCAACTAGGAATAAGTATTTTGGCATTCGTGGATACAGCTTGGACAAGCAGCATAGTGTCACTGAGAAAGTCATACAAGATGAAGGGAACAAATGAAAAAAGCAAAAACATTTTTCATGGAGCAATCTTTGTTTTAACTGCTTCTTGCCCACTTCTGCTGAGTCTTCTCTGATTGTGCACCGTGACTGCAGCGCTTTGCTTTTTCAGTCTTGAGTAATAACCCACATGGAAGAAAAGGTAAACAGACTTTCCCTATGTTCATGTCTTTCCTCTCCCTTGAACTACCATCCGTCTGCATTAAATTTATCTTGGAAAGACTTCAGTTTTATTAGCAGCTCCAGGTAAAAGAATTTTCAAGTGATTGATAACCATGTCTGCTTTAAGAATAATGTCAGCAATTTTCTGAATAGATGACCAATAAAAGAAAACTTAAAAAGGAATTAAAAACCACACTGCCCCATATTCTTAAGTAGTGGCTTTGGCCAAAAGTTCAGGGATAGGAGCTTGGAAACTTTTAATTGGATTCATCTAACTCCCCTTTGTCTCTCCTTTTTCTGTTTCTTTCTCCATGCCTTTTTTCCCCTCTCTTCTCTTTCCCCTTTTTAACCCTCTTGAGAGTGAAGTCTGATTTCTCAAGTAGGTATAAATGTAATTAAAGTCAAACACAGCTCTTAAAAAAGGGAAGCAACTAATTTCTTTTCTGGACCATTGGTGTTGTGGGCAGATCTTGATAATGGAAAAGCACCAACCTGGGAGCATGAAATGGGGATACTGGAGTCACTGAAATAATAAAATGCTTAATAGCATGATGAGTAAAAATGCTTGTTTTATAGGAGACTATAAGCCTTGTGTTATTCTGGTTTTACCTCTTCTTCCCCTCCCTGCTGACAGAGGCTGTAGTTTTGACATACCCAAATCTAGTGTCTCAGGGTTTCTCACTCTTTCCTTTGTATGCCACTTAGGAATTTTTTTTTTAATACTGTTCCCTATTGGGCAGTAATTCCATTCCCCTGTGGCAAACTGAAGAAGTCTTGTGGTCAAAGAAAAATCTTAAATTTACTTAATCTCTTACCTAAAAATGGAAAAAAAAAAAAAACCACCAAGATCCCCAAACCAAACCTCTAACATGATCAACCGTTAATGGATTGGTGTTTGCTTTGATAGTTGTGCAAAATGTATATGCTTTACATTACAGGCACATCCCCTTAGCTTAGCTCCCACCTGTAGCACTGGCTACTTCGTTATTTGCTATTCTTAAATTTAATCAGTATGACCACTGCTTTGTAGCAGACTAGTGTGTATGTATATAAACAATCATTAATCAATATGTATGGACAAATATTTTGTGGCTGGGAAGTTTAGTACATGGATGTACTGTGATCTGTGGATCTCTGGTTGAAAATCAAATGCTTTAATTTTGTCCTTTAAATACAAAGTAGTTGTCCCCTTGGGGCAGGATAGAAGACTCACTGGACCAATTCTAATCACATTGCTTAGTGTTGCGCATTTGAATACCTCTGATACACAAGCTATAAAAGAACCAAAGGAGAATTCAGGTTAGTAGGGACCACAGACTGAGTGGTGTGCTGCGATACCTTTGGGTTTCTGGGAAATGGCAGAATCACCATCCCTCAAAGTGTTCTGAAAGCGTGTAGATACGGCCCTCAGTGACATGGTTTAGCGGTAGCCTTCCGCAGTCCTGGGGTAAAGGTTGGACTTGATGATCTTAAAGGGTTTTTCCCACCTAGCTGGTTCCATGATTCTATTCTATTCTTTGGATGTCTCCTGTTGCTAAATTAATTTGGTTTCTTTTTGTGTTATAAACCCCATCAGGATCCGAACTCAGTATGATACGCTTAGCTTCATGCAATTCTGGTCATCCCACCTAGTAGATACATAGAAAAAGTTCACCAAACCCTCAGTGGTATCTCTGGGAAGAGATGTGGAGGGACTGGGATTCCTCAGATTGTGAGAAGTGGACTGGGACTCCTCAGGTTGTGAGAAGCGGGCTGGGACAGGGAGTGCTGTAAAAGCCACAGTGGAACAGAGAAGGGGTATGTGGCCTCCAGTTCCTAGATTACAGCCAAGGCTGAAGTAGAGAGGAGAGGGTTGGCTTTACTAAAAGTGTGTGAATGTGTGCTTAGATGTTGAAAAGCAGGACATAAAATGGCTGAACAGGAGGCAGAATTCCAGTCTGGCAGTGGACAGTGTGAGATGGCACTGGAGCAAGAATCTGGTGAGGGAGAAAGGAGGGAGCAAACACCAGCCCCTCTTAGTACAAAATTGCTGCAGTAAAGACACAGCTGCTTTCAATGTGCAGAGTGTGAAAGTACTGAAAGAGGAGGTGCACTGGCTGGGGTGGCAGGGGGCATCAGTATCTAGCTGGTGTCTTGAAAAAACTTTCAACAGGAGATTTTTTTTCAGCTTGGTGTTACAGAGACTGTTGGGGATGAACATCTGGAGTGGAAGATGTCCCTGTGGGTTTTGGGATTCTTAGCTTTAATGGGTGTGAAGATTAACAGAAATTTGCTCTTGAAGTCTGTGAAATCAGTTGAATCAGTGTGGTGGGTCTGTGTGTCTTCCCCCTGATCTCCCCCCAGCAGGGATGCTTAAATCTTTTTTTTGACCTTATTGCTATTACCTACCTAAGCAGCAAATATTCTGCTAAGCACCAATATAGCCTTCCTACTCTGCTCAGTCATGCACTCATGCCTCTATGGTACTGTTACCTCAGACTTTATTTTAATTATCATAAAACAGCCTGGGGTTCTGTGGTTTAAAATTAACTAGTTGTGTGGTGAATGGCAGGTGTAGTTTGGTACAGTTTCAATCTTAATCTTTCCCACTAGTCAGAAAAAGCTATTGGGAATGGATATTTTAGGAGGTATATTTTGAATTTCTCTAATTCTGCTGCCGTGGACAAGCAGTGTGTGTCGTAGTGCAGCTGTATAGGATTCTCTTGGGAGACATCTGACAGAGAGCCAACAGTGAGCTGTAGTCCAAGACAACAGACTGGCTTGGTGCTGCAGAGTAACTGTATACTTTTATTGACATGTATTTTTTAACAGGTGACTACTTCTAGCCTGTATTTGTGAGGTAATCGGAGGACCACAGTAGGCTGATGGGTTTTACTTATCCATTCCTCTTTTCATTTAATTCTTTACAAAATCCTACCTTAGGGATTCTGTAAAACCAGTTTAAAGTGATGTACATCTTCCCTTTCCTGTACATTGTGGACACAGCTTTACTTTTTGCATCAGTACACATTGCACATGTATGAAAACCAGCCGCTTTGAAAGCAGCTTTTCATTTCTCTAAAAGACCAATGTTTGCAGTGAAACAGCAAAATCTGTGTATTTTCTTATAAGGCTAACTTAAATATAAAGGTATGTGCTTTTTAGCTTTTCCCCCTTTATTTAGATCTTAATTAAATGTATAGAGGCATTTTCTCCTGTCAGATGCATGTCCGTTTAACTTCCCTTTATTTTTTACTTTTGAAAGAAGAAGTAATTTTTTTTCTTCCAGAAAAGTGGAGGAATGTTGGTCTCTAAAGCAAGCTTAAATAGTTGTTTTTACTTAGCTGATCCTTAGTGCTAGGCAGTACTGCATAAAAGCCGTCTGACTTTACACCTTTCTCTTTGTCCTGATTTAACATGGTGTAAAATCACCCTACCTCTGAGTCTTTTAGGCGTTTTAGATGATCACTGGTGAAAAATGAAGGTAAATGTACCTATTTTTTCCTCACGTGATTGACTGCCTTTTCCCTGAGCCCTAAAGAGAAGTTCTCCCTTTGTGGGGTTTAGGGAAAACAGAAAGGTTGCAAATCTCCTGACAGAACAGTGCATAGACTGCAGGCTGTGATTCCTATTTAAAACAGAGTGTCCGATGTACAGATTCACTTGATTTGTATTTAAATGGGGAAGGTGAGTGCCCTGGTTTCCCACATTGTGTCACAGGAGGGAGGTATCATATGGCCAGGCTTGGCAGTCCTGGGAGATGCAGACCATGTCAGCTCCGCTCGGGGGACCTGCTGCGCTGGTGGAATGAGAGGGCTGCTTGAGGTGGGTCAGGAGTTGGGGCAGATGAAGGCTTTTCCTCTCCCTGCCATTGCCCTGCCTTTCTCCCTGCCTCCTGAGTAAACCTGCACTTCTTTGGGGCTCAGCCATCAGGAGTAACAAAAGAAAATCTACTGTCTTTTATAGGTGCATCTTGCCTTGCTTAATTTGAAAGGGGACTATTAATGTCATAAAGGAAAATAGGTTGCTCTTACCTGTGCTTGTCCAGCACTTTACAATCACTAATTAAGCTTTACAATATGGCTGCTGTGGTCTTAACTATATTCCCTGACAGAGCACTTTGCCTAAGGTCACGCAAACAGGTCATGAGCCTTCCTCTTTTGACCGCAGCGCATGTACCCTGGCTGCTAAGAGTATGAATCTTACTGCATGAGGAACGACCAAACAGCACAATATCGGCAGCTGATAACTAGGTAACATAGATAAAATGAGTTAAATTAATGTGTGATGAAGTTACATAGGGGAGAAGTTTGGCCTAGAATCTGGCAGCTGGCAGGTTGCAGGAACCATCTGTTGCCTGTGGTACCAAGTAATGATTTCTGTAGTTACTTCTAAATCTCAGTTACTTAACACAGTTTGGAAACAGAAGTTCTGCCAGGTTATTACAAGCACTTCAGGTATCTTTTAAGTGTTGATTAGAAAAGCTTTTCCCTCTTTCTCCCAGACTTATTTTTGTACTCATGACAGGTGTGGGGTGGGAGACTGGGGTGCTCAGTCTACCCAGGAATGAGTGCTCTCACTAGTGATTTTTTCTTTTTTCCAACCCATATGTTTCAGCTGTACCCTAGGCAGAGTGTCTCCTTAGACAGGGAGAGGAGTTTTACATGTTCCTTTGTTGTTTGCCTTACTGGTGGACGGTAGAAGTATCATTGTTGCTCCAGCAGAGGAAGTTTGTGGTGTTTAATTCAGAAACTGGGGCTAATCCTGCATCTTTTCTCATTGGCTTCCAGTGTGCTACCAGCTAGCAAAAGCTTTATGTGGGAGAAAGAGATGAAAACTGGTGCCAAAGAATAGTGAGAGCCATCACTGCCTTATCACCTATCTCTGGAGCTATGCGTAACTCCCCAGCCAGACACTAAGCTGAGCTCAGGGCCTGGTATGAAGGGGAAAAAGTGGGGCTGTTAGCAAGAACTGCTCATAATGTTTTTGTTAAAATAATGGCTTTTCAGACTGTGAAAACAATGTTAGCAGAAAGGATGTATTATTCAAACTGTTCAGATTCTTTTGTTGAAAGGGAGGGAAATATGTTTAAAATTGATTTGAAATGAAAAGTTATGCAATTGCTAGGAATGAAGCTATTTATATAGCAGTCTGTTTTCCCGCTTTTCCTATTCTATGCTCCTTTCCCAGAAGAAATAAAAAGAAACAACAAATAATGACTGGAAGTTACTATAATGAAAGCCAGGTAAATTAAAATGTTTCATTTCTAAATCCAGAAAATTCAATGTAAGTGCTGCGATATAATAAATGTTTCTTTGTTTTCCCTAGGGCTTTCATAGCAAACAGTTGTTCTTTGTCAGCTGTATTGCTGACTGTACGGAGATTTGTATATAGTATGGAAAAGCACAGAATATGTCCCGTGCAGGTACTGTGAAGATATTCCCTGACCCACTATTGCACCTGTACCCTGAGAGATTCTGTCCTGAGGAGCCACAGGAATTCAAGTCTTCTCATCACTCTCTCTTTTTCTTTTCTCTTCTTTTTTTTTTTTTTTTTTCCTATTTTTAAAATATGTGAGTTTGAATCCTGACTTGAGCAGGTTGAGTTGGGATTTTGAATTCGCAGCCCAGTCACTCAGAATGTCAATTGTCTTCCAGGGCACTGCACTGTGAGTCCCAAGGCTGGAAGCTCTTTAAAAGACCATTTGACTTTTAAAGGAGCACTCACAGGATAATATGTATCTTTTAGCTCTTTCTAAATCTACCAAGTGTGATTGATTTATCAATATGTAGCAACTAATGCTTAAATAAAGGGACATGTCTTCACCAGTGGTGTTGAGATGCTTCGTTAGAAAATTTGAAATAATTTCTAAAGGCATTAACTTCCATAATACTGCTAGTTAGCTGTTCCCAGCTCCCTTGGGTCACAATGAGGTACTAAGCTACCTGACAGGCTTTGCTTAAATCTGTGGCCCTGGCACGCTGCTGTCTAGTTTGGGGTTTTCAGAAATTAAATTTAATACAGGGTTTGAATAGAAGAGTGCTGGTGCAGTGTCTCCTGTCTGTTTCTCAGATGGTGATGGGTTATTCCCTGCCGTACTGTTTCCCAGTGTTTTTATCCAGCTTCATTTTAAAATGAATCAGGCAATTGTGCTATCCCCCCCACCTTCCTGCAGTGTTCTGGGTTCAATCCCAAGTGCTTCTGACAGCTCAGGATGCGTTCTCTGGACTTCCTGTTTTAGCTAAATTCTGTGGTTTTGTCACCCCATGTGTACAATGGTTCCTCTTATGCTTTGGTGCATGTACTATGTCCCTGCCTTTTTGACTGTGATTTACTTACTCCAGTAAATGTCATTACCTCATCATTAGGTGGTCCATTGAAATAAACAGATGAATCCTTTATACTTGAATTTTGTCAAAATCTTTTTGTTTTACACATATTAATGTTTCTGGGGGGTTTTCTACATTTCATAGTAGCAGATCTCCTGAGGAAAAGGCATAACTAGAGAGAAGGATCATAGAGCAAAATAGTAAAGCACAGAAATGCAATCCAGGAAGATGTACATGAACTAAAAGAACAGTAATGAAACCCCTGTCCTCTGTGTAGCTCCTCCCAGTCATTGGGCTCTTGGGCTCATAGGGGTCTTAAATGTAAATTTGTCTGATCCACACTCTTCCTTTCAAAAGAGATTCTACCATAAGAACTGTATTTCTGCTTTGAGGGTCCCTAGGGCTTGGAGCCTAGGTAGCTTTTACCAGAACTGTCTCAGTCCTTGGTTGTGAGGCCACTGCTGCAGCAGAGCGGCAGGTTTGTTCTTCCAGCTTTGCCAGCAGGCTGTCTGGGTTAGGCGGAGGATTGCTTGGTACACGCTGACAGGTCACCATGTAATGCTGCAGGCACAGGCCAGGATGAAATGACTCCTTGCAAGTACAACATGCCTAGCATATTTCTTACCTGTCCTATAATTGCTGGTTAGTTAGAACCTGGTCGCTATTGTGGAAAGCTCCAAGGCCTTTCCTTGATAATCTGGAAAGTTTTCAATATCCTGAGCCATTTAAAGCATTATCCTTTTCCAGCCAAGACACTGATGCTTAAAGATTTTTGCTAGCAGTCTATCTTGGCAAGATTTCCACTTCCATTCCCCAGCATGCTAGAACTGAGAAACCTATCTATGCATAACTTCTTGTCCTGTCCCCCCAGTAACCCTTAGGTAGAGGAGGGGAATAGGTTGGACTGAATTTTGGCAGGAATTTTGTATATCAGACCATGAAAATAGAGAGCTGGAAGAAGGCTGTGATTTCCCATGGCAGGGGATTCCCAGCCTACTGTTGTGTATACACCCACAAAAGGCAACATGTTTCTGGAGCTAGTGGTAAGGGAAGAATGCAGTTCAGAAAGCAGGCACCTACCTAATCTTACAGTGGCTGTAGACTTTTAGAATGCTTATGAGGCTGCCAGTGTCTTTGCTCCCTCATGCTGGTCAGCATCAGTCGCTGTGAGAGCTGTGTGAATGTGGATCCCTCACAGTTCAATTCTGATGTTTAACTGGCCTCTCCAAAAGGCATTCCCATTTGGTCCATAACCAGAGCATCGACTATCCAAGGAGCTTGGGAACTCAGATGAGCATTCCCTGCACTGTGGATGGCTTACCAGACCCGTTTGCTATGTTTGGGTGTTTGTGTTTGCTTTGTCGGAGGTCGGGTGGAAATTTTTGCACGAAATCATGTAGTTGCCATAAAATATGGCGAGTGCCACATGTTGCATAATGGGAAAATCCACATTTCCAGATGTCCTTTATTTCCAGGTTTCAGGGCCCTTTATTTCCAAGTGGATGCTGCTTATCTTCCCATGAGCCAGCAGACTGTAGGGAATGATCTGAACTAATTACTGGCCATACTAATGACAGGGAAGTCTGGCCAGGTGCAGTGTCCCCCTCTGTGCATGTTCTGTTTTTAGTAAAATAGTCAAACTGGTTGCAGCGGCCTCCCCTCCACTGTCATATTGCTGTTGTGACAGTTAAAAATATGCAAACTTCTCTGGCTTACTGGATATCAGGTTCAGGGGTGTAAAAATGTGTTGAACAAAGTGCAAATTGGCTGTGATCTGTGAGGAGAGGAATGAATTTAACCTTTGTTCTTATTCTAATATTTCTGATAGTCATTTTATGCTTTTGTTCTTCCTTTTTATTTTTTTATTAAGGAACTACTCTATGCCAGCTGGAATGTAGAGTCCTTGTAGTGCTAGCTCAAGTACAGAAAATCACAATTATTAACGTGTACGTGCGCAGTGTCTCGGAGCTCTGTACTTGGCTGCGTTCTGCCAGATTCTGTCAAACAGGAGAGAAAGTGTTCTTGCTCATGAAGAACTTAAAAAATGTATATGAAAGGATGAAGCAGATGGGTAGACAGACAGCTAGGAAGAGCAAGGTATTACTGGTTAGTGTGCCAGCCATTAGTTTTATTTTGTTGTTGCTTTTTATGCCCGGTACTTTTTCTAATGTAGCTGATAAAGCAGTGCAACAGTGACTTTTTTTCCTTTTCTTGCTTTAAAGTTGGTAGCCCCCCATCCCGCAACGATGTCTCTCCTTTGAGGAGTGTCTAATACCAGCCTATGCCTGCAGTATCCAATATGTTTTGAGGGAAAAGTAAACCCATTCCACACTGTTAGATCTTCTTGGAAATAGCCTCATTCTCAGGCATTGATGATCAAACTTCACTTTTCAGTAACAATAAACACATTTTTAAGAGACTTGATTTTTATTAAAAATTGAAATACAATGTATGTGTCAGATACAGGATCTGGAAGAAGTTTGGCCATTTATCAGTAATGCCAGCACTGTGAATTCACAGAATTCCCTGCTAACATCCCGTGCCGTGATGTGTGCAGCTCCTGGTTTCACATTTGATATATTAGGATCTGGTAAAATAAACATCACTACAGATCTGTCCAGGCTTCTTGGTGGTGGAAAGAAGATGCGGGGGATGAAGGCAGACCAACTACAGAGGGAGTAAAATAAACGGTAATGATTCAGACCTCTCCAACTGTTGAACTTCAAAGTCTTTAGGAAAGCAGGTATTCTTTGTTCTCTTATAACAATTGTGGAATTGGGGGAAGTCCAGTGTTCCCAGCACAGCTGCTGTGGGAATTACAATAAATGCTGTTGAGTTTTGCAGAAATCGTTCTCCTGGTTAGTACCAGCTCAGAGATGGGGGAGTCTGGTTTCTCCTGCATGGCAGTACAGAGCAATAACTGCTCAGCTGCTGCCAACGCTTCCTTTTAGCTAGTTCTTGTTAGTAGAGAGTTTGTGGTAATAGGGGTAATTAACACACTGGGAGTCATTTCTGTGTCCTGGAAGGGAACAGAAAGCCATCAGAGCAGCCCCAGACATGATTGCTCTGCAGGGTTATTTTCTCTCTCTCTTTCTTTCTTTGCCATTGTGCTTAGTTTTGATTTTTCTGCTTTGTGTTAAGAAAGCTGGAGAGCTGAAATGGTCTGTAAATTGCACTCATGCTGAGCTTGGGCTAGGTAGGCTAGTTAAAGGTCACTCTTGTGGACTACATGTCCTCTGGTGGTGTGGGGAGGGTGTTTAAGAAGGGAGTCACACTGTCACTTGTGGCTTCTTTAACCGTTCTTCTTCCAGTGTAGATTTGAAGAGCTCTGGTTCTGCATTAAGCTTGTTGAAATAGGCTTAGGAGGTGAGAACCTTGAAGAGTGATTTATGGTAAAAACTCTTCCAGCAGCCATGTGGCTTCCCACCATAATAGCGCTGAAGTGTGAGGCTGTGCTGCCATGGTCCTGTGCTTGTTGTTGAACGGAGCACATTACTCACTTGCTCATACTTCTTCTGACGCTGCTGGTGGCATTTCAGCTGTGCCTTATGAATGCATGTGAGCTCAGCTACCCCAAGCATAAGTACCTAGTTTGGGTATTACAGTTTTTCTGGAGATGAGCTACAGGAGTAGACTTGTCATGAGCAGTCATTCTTGCCCTTCCTGAGAAGTGGGGTGAGAAGTGGGGACAGGGAGAAGAAGGGCAATGGGTTTAACCTGTGTGATTGCAAACCATGTGCCCAGGTACCAGGAAACATATGAATCACAACTGACAGTGTATGCGTGTTTGTGTGTATATCCTAATCCACTACAGGGGACCAAAGACAAAGTAATTCTAGCTTTTTAGTCTGGCTTATTTTTCTTTTTAAAGGACACTAGACCTCCTTTTCTTGCTTTTTTGCTTTGATACAGGCTTTTTGCAACTGTCCCCTAAGGGAGCTCTGTGCTGAATTCATATAAGGAGGACTAAGCAACTCCATAGCCACTTTCAAGAATGGAAAAGCTAAGCCTGCAAGATATATCAGTGGTGGAAAGAACCAGGGAACATTTTCAGAAATACATTTTCTCTTTGGGCTTGGGGTGTGTCAATGGCACCTGTGGTTCGCACAGTGATGTTGGAGACTGGCATGAATACTGTATCTCTGCAAACCATCCAGAAGAGTTCAACAAGTGCTCTGTCACCTCCAATACACCGTTTTAAGATGCTGGCCTTCATGCCTATACGTGTCTCTACGTCCAAAAGAAAGCCGTAAATCTCTCCTTTTATTCTTCCGCTGCTTTCACTGCAGCCAGTCATGTAAGTTGCTGCACCTCATGAACCTGCCAACTTCAGCAGGACCTGGGTGTGTTCAGCTTTTCTCACGGCAAAGCCCCCAGTTCCAATTTCACTTCCAGCCTCTTCAGTAGGGAGAGCCCATCTTGCCTTACCCCTGACCACTTTACAGGGAGCAGTGTAGTCCCACCAAACTCTCCTTGGTAATAGAATTGTGGAGTAGCTGTCCACTTCTGTCTTCAGCCTGGTTCTTTCAGCACAGCCCCACTGACACCACCCCAGAGTCCTCTCCATCCCAGCAAGGGGGTGATGCCAACCTCCAGATTTATAGCTGGGATGCAAATACTGCTGGAGGAATTAAAATCTAAATTAACCCATGTGGTTTAAACTAGCGTCTTCAATTTAAAGTTCTCTGTGTCCTCTCAGTTCTCTGTAAACATTTCCGTGCATCCTTGCTGAGGAGGCTGGGTGATGGGAGACTTTTTGTGTTCCTTTTTTTCTGCAGTGACAGTA